GACCATGTCCAATCAGGTCCAATCAGGTCCAACCAGGTCCAATCAGGTCCAATCAGGTCCAACCAGGTCCAATCAGGTCCGACCATGTCCAATCAGGTCCAATCAGGTCTGACCATGTCCAATCAGGGCCAACCAGGTCCAATCAGGTCCGACCATGTCCAATCAGGTCCAGTCAGGTCCAACCATGTCCAGTCAGGTCTGACCAGGTCCAATCAGGTCTGACCAGGTCCAATCAGGTCTGACCAGGTCCAATCAGGTCTGACCAGGTCCAATCGGGTCCAAAGTCAAAAAGCTTTCACTGAACTTCAACGTCAAGAGTCAAAGTCTAGAGTTGGGGCATCGGTAGCTTCCTGCCGGGTTCGTTAGTTCGATTCTGGTGTGCAACCCTTTGCTACATGCCCCCCCCCCCATATTATATATTATTGATATCATAAATCTACTGATCAACATTATTTATTTATCATTAATATTATGTCATAAATACTGTTCTGTGTGGTTTCATCATTCTCTAATATCGTTAACTAACGATATGATAATGATCCTATCATGATGATGACACAACCATCACAATGTCATAATGATGTCATAATGATGTCATAATGATAATCATTTAATAACTGATTCATTCTCTCCGTCAGGTCGTTTTGCGATTCGTGACATGAAGCAGACGGTGGCGGTGGGCGTGATTAAGGAAGTGAGCAAGGAGGAGCCCACCACAAAGGCCACCAAGTCAGCATCAAAGAAGTGATGTCACTTCCTGTCGGCCATGTTTACTGTCTCAATCAATCAGTTAATAAATCATCAATAAAATCTCATGAGCATGTGAGGCATGTGTCTGTGTTTCATTGGTTGATCTGCTGCATGTGATTCATTCAACACCTGTAACCATGGAAACCTGCACCTGACAGCTGTCACCACTTGTTTTGAACAGTTGAAGAAGTGAGGTCACAGGACCACATTGTTTTTTCCTGTTCTGACAAGACAGGAAGTTGATTGTGTGTGCGTTAGTACATTTATATGACACATAGTGAGGACCCAAAAATTTATTTTACCAACAAAGTGAGGACATTTTGGGGGGGGGGCTGTGGTGTGACCCTCCCTGACTGACCAGAGGACAATCCATGTCCATGTCCATGTCCATGTCCATGTCCATGTCCCATGAGATGTAGAAAAAAGTGAATTTGATGAAATATTATTTTTAATCAGATTTGGTTTTGTTTGTTTGTTTGTTTCCTGACGGAAGAGTTCGTCTGAAATTTGAAAAAAATCCAGTGATAAGTTCTGTTTCCAGTGTCAGTGGCTGATTGGCGGGTCCCACTGTGCCCAGGGTCCAGGGAAGTGTTCACAGTCAACATGGGTCCTCACAAGGATAAACGTACAAGAATATGTGTGAGTGTGTGTGTGACGACACCGAAACAGGAATCAGCCACATTGCGTGACAGAGTGTTCACACTGTGCACTGTTGCATGACAAGCTGCGACCACACACACACACACACACACACTGACCTGTGTGACACAAACACCTTCAAAGATCAAACACTGATTATGAGTCAATATGAGACGCAGACTGACCTCAGAACAGTTTGGGGTATAAAGATGAGTGTATCTGTACTCGAGTAGTGAAGATACATTTGAGGTACTTTCCATGCTGCTGGTTGGTGTCAGAGGGAAACAGTGTAGTTCTTACTGCACTGTTGAAGTAATCAGAGTAAAAGTACTCACACAGAAACATTTCAACCAAGAGGCAGCGAGGAGCTGGAACCATAAAATGTTTTTACATGAAAAATGATGTCACAGATCAAAATGGCTGCTGACCAATTTTCTGATCAATCAATCAAGATTATTGATGACAATCTCAAAATACTGAACATACAAATACTTGAGTTATTTAAGTACAGCAGTGAAGTTACAATTACAATTTATATATTTAAGGTAGGGACAGTACATGTTAATAAACATAGTACAGTAGTACATGTAAATATGCCAGATTGTACCCACGGCTGATTTCCACCTGTCGTCTCTAGGCAGGTTGTTGTTACATTAGTGACATAAAAACAAAATGCATAACCAGCACACGAGATGCAGTAGAAACATGGAGAAACAGTACAAATGTACTCAGTTACACTGCACCTCTGACGACATTTATCTGACAGCTTGAGTAGATTATTATTAGGGACGGATCAGCTGATCAATATTAAACTGATCGACACATCAATAACATCGTATTGATTACTCTACACCATCAGTACTTTAACTGCTGGATACCTGAAGTAAATCTGAAATCTTATCTGGAATTAAGTAATCGAGTCATCATGTGTGTGTGTGTGTGTGTGTGTGTGTGTGTGTGTGTGTGTGTGTTATCTTTCTAACAGGAAGCAAACAAAACAGAAAGAACACCATGTTGAGAGAGCGACCACACACACACACACACACACACTTCAGTGACTGCCTGTCATATAACAACAACTTATACAACAGTTAGTTCTGACCGAGTAATTTGATTGGACGAGAGGCATTCTATGAGTGCTGATATACAGTATAACATCACTGGGACATGTAACAGTAAAATCACTCCGCTCACAGGTGTTATAAATATAAATACAGCCATTAATTAACCAGCTGTCACACTCGCTACATTGACGCAAACTGACACTATAGCGTTACACCAAGAAGATGGATATTATTATTACTGATGAGGATGAGGAAGATAAATCCGGCTGTGCCAACATCCAGGTTTGAACTACACAGCTGCAGATCAATGTAAATACAAAGTAGCCGGTGAGGTCCTGGCGTGTGTGCTGCGTTGCCTGGCAACAGACTGGGGGAACTGTTTTTTTTTTTTTGGCAGAGCTACATAACATACTTAAATAATTTATTTCATCACCTTTTGTTAACATTTCCTTACTCAGCATTGCTGTTTAAGCTGTTGTTGACCTGTTGTGTGAAAGCAACATCACACTGGAGGGAGTGACGTTGGACTGTATATCATCACGGCTGTGATTGTGTTCTATGACCGAATCACAACATCACGACCTCCAGTGTGATATTGCTTAAATATTGTACCACTGTTACTATATTGTTATTAGAGTCTGGCCAGGACACTATTGTAATCCTAGTTCTTCTTCTTCTTCTTCTTCTTCTTCTTCTTCTTCTTCAGAGGAAATCATACTTCCCATGGGTGAAAACTCACCAAACTTTGCACAAAGGTCCAGTCTCATGCCAGATATCCTCAGCTGTAAACTCAAGCCAATAGTCCTGATGGTGGCGCTACAGCAAGCGTCTAAAGTTCAAAACTTTGAAAATTCTTAACAAATCAACCATACGTGCTACAACTTCACAACTTTCATCAAACTGTAGCCCCAATACTGAAGAAACTTTTGTACATTTAAACCTGTTAAAAATTATGAAGTTCATCACTTTTTTCAAAAACTGTAAAACTTCTTAAACCTATCTCCTCCCACAATTTTTGCTCAATTGACACCAAACTTGCTACAGAGCATCTTCAGACTGTCCTACAAAAACTATGTTTCTCAGATTTTTGATTTATCAAAAATTGAGCCTACAGTGCATCAAAATGTTTGACTGTAAACGGTACTGTAAACATATACATGCAAATTCTTGCTAAATAAATCTTCAATGTTCATGAAAAAAAGACAAAATTCTAGAGTCATGGTAGATGATGTGTGGCAAATTTCAGAATTTTATCTCAAAAACTGAATTTTTGACAGCATTTTGAATTTTGCTCTAATGTGAACAATTGGAGTCAATGTAAAAATGGCAATTTTAAACATCAGTTTTTCACTTATGGAGCAAATCAATCATTGTTACAAACAAATTACCAACATCTCCATGCTGTCTAGATGCAATATGTGTATTTTCAGATTTTTGTCTTAATAACTGAATTTTTTACAGTGGTTTCAAATCTGCCTTTCCATGCATGGATGGCTGCTTTCCTACACAACAGTGAATGGCTTACTCAGTTTGTGAAGCCACTGTTGAGGTGCTACTTGCCAATTAGCTCAGAGTGGTAGATGACCGTCTTAGGTTCCAGAGGTTGCAGTTTCAAGCCTCAATTAGTGCAGAATCCACATTGTAATGTAAACATCTTCTTGTGCTCCAGTTTATTGCTTAAAATTGCCTGAGCGTGACTGATCACTGTGCAGCATCTACAAGTCTTTTTTCTGCTAGAAAATCAGCCTTCTCATGCTTGAAAATAAACCAAACTTTGCACAAAGATCCAGTGTCAATACTTCAGTGTGAAACCATCTGAGGCTTCTCACTTTGCACATAGCTCAACTAGTTAAACATCAGTTTTTCACTTATGGAGCAAATCAATCATTGTTAAAATAACTTCCATGCATGGACGGCTGCTAAACCTGCACGTCTGGCTTAGTCACTTTGTGAAGCTACACATGATCTGTCACTGACTAATTAGCTCAGTCAGATAGAAATTGAATCTTAGTCTCAGAGGTTGTGAGTTCAAGCCTCAGCTGATGCAAAAGGCAGATTGTGTTGCTAAATTTCTTCCAATTCTTCTGCTTGTTGCTCAGAATTGCCTAAAAATGCCCGGACCCGACCCATCACTGCGCAGCAGCTATAATTGTTGTTATTATCACTATATTCTGACTAACATTAATGTCCTTGTATGTGCTGTCATCACTGTCTGTCCTGTGTCTCTGTCTCTCTTCATGTCTCATCGTGTCGTCACTGTACATTTATTATGTTCATCTGTTCTCTACCACAGCTACTGTCCCTCTGTCCCTGTCCTCTGTCTGTCCTGAGAACACATCTGTCCTCTATGTCTCTTCCTGAGGTTAAAGAGTTTTTCCTGATCAGCTGTGAGGGTCCAAAGGACAGAGGGACAGAGGACAGAGGGATGTCCTCTGTTGTAAAGCCTCTGAGACTTTATAAATGAAGATGACTGACAGCAGTGACACGTGTGTCAGATACTTCCTGTTTCCTCTCCACCAAACTTCTTTTTTGACTCGTCTCAGCGTCACTCTGCGGTTTAACAGACACAAAGTCAGAACGCTCTGAACTGTGAGACGCTGCAGAGACAGGAGACGACAACTGTGAGTCCACACCTGTCCTGTCTGTCCCTTTCTCTGTCACTCTGTCCTTCTGTCTGCCTCTCTGTCTGTCTGTCTGTCTGTCTGTCCTTTCTACAAACTGCTCGTCCTTATTTCAAACAATGCGTCTATTCTTTGAGTGCTTTGAGTGTCTTGGTCCTTGTTTCTGTGAGGACAGTGACAGCTGTTAGAGGACAGTGACAGCAGTTAGAGGACAGTGATGGCAGTTAGAGGACAGTGACGGCAGTTAGAGGACAGTGACGGCTGTTAGAGGACAGTGACGGCTGTTAGAGGACAGTGACGGCAGTTAGAGGACAGTGACGGCTGTTAGAGGACAGTGACGGCTGTTAGAGGACAGTGACGGCTGTTAGAGGACAGTGACGGCTGTTAGAGGACAGTGACGGCTGTTAGAGGACAGTGACGGCTGTTAGAGGACAGTGACGGCTGTTAGAGGACAGTGACGGCTGTTAGAGGACAGTGACGGCTGTTAGAGGACAGTGACGGCTGTTAGAGGACAGTGACGGCAGTTAGAGGACAGTGACGGCTGTTAGAGGACAGTGACGGCAGTTAGAGGACAGTGACGGCTGTTAGAGGACAGTGACGGCAGTTAGAGGACAGTGACGGCTGTTAGAGGACAGTGACGGCAGTTAGAGGACAGTGACGGCTGTTAGAGGACAGTGACGGCAGTTAGAGGACAGTGACGGCTGTTAGAGGACAGTGACGGCAGTTAGAGGACAGTGACGGCTGTTAGAGGACAGTGACGGCAGTTAGAGGACAGTGACGGCTGTTAGAGGACAGTGACGGCAGTTAGAGGACAGTGACGGCTGTTAGAGGACAGTGACGGCAGTTAGAGGACAGTGACGGCTGTTAGAGGACAGTGACGGCAGTTAGAGGACAGTGACGGCTGTTAGAGGACAGTGACGGCAGTTAGAGGACAGTGACGGCTGTTAGAGGACAGTGACGGCAGTTAGAGGACAGTGACGGCTGTTAGAGGACAGTGACGGCAGTTAGAGGACAGTGACGGCTGTTAGAGGACAGTGACGGCTGTTAGAGGACAGTGACGGCTGTTAGAGGACAGTGACGGCAGTTAGAGGACAGTGACGGCAGTTAGAGGACAGTGACAGCAGTTAGGCAGACAGACAGACAGACGGACAGACAGACAGACAGACAGAGACAGTAAAGTATCAAGAGAGTAAAAATGTTCTGCTGCAAACACAAAGGTTTATTAACGTCAAACATAAAGTACCAACAGTAAAAGTATTGATCTACAATAATCTATCTGAGTTTATTGATATATGAATGTATTGATCAATTTAATGACTACATATCCTGCAGGTAGTTTCACCTGTCATCATCCATCATCACTAAAAAGGTTTCTTTTAATTAACCATTTAAATTATATTCTGATAATTTTCAAAGTAAAACAGTAAAATATTTAAATTATATCAATTTATTTTGAAAGGGTTCATCCTAAATAAAGAGTACTGTTACTTTAATGTTAATCTCTCAAGACAGATTCTGCAATTTACATTGTAGAATCTGCCGGGGGGGGGGGGGGGGGGGGGGGGGGGGGGGGGGGGGGGGGGGGGGGGGGGGTGATGTCAGTGTGATGTCATGATGTCAGTGCGATATCAGTGTGATGTCATGGTGATGTCAGTATGATGTCAGTGCGATGTCAGCGTGATGTCAGCGCGATGTCAGCGTGATGTCAGCGCGATGTCATATGATGTCAGCGCGATGTCATATGATGTCAGTATGATGTCAGTGTGATGTCAGCGTGATGTCAGTGTGATGTCAGTATGATGTCAGATGATGTCAGTATGATGTCAGTGCGATGTCAGTGTGATGTCATATGATGGCAGTGTGATGTAACAGTGATGTCAGTATGATGTCATATGATGTCAGTGTGATGTCAGTGCGATGTCATATGTCAGTGCGATGTCATATGATGTTAGTGTGATGTCACAGTGATGTCGGTATGATGTCGGTATGATGTCATAGAATGTCAGTGTGATGTCATATGATGTTAGTGTGATGTCACAGTGATGTCGGTATGATGTCGGTATGATGTCATATAATGTCAGTGTGATGTCATATGATGTCAGTGTGATGTTAGTACGATGTCATATGTCAATGCGATGACATATGATGTCAGTGTGATGTCACAGTGATGTCAGTATGATGTCATATGATGTCAGTGTGATGTCATATGATGTCAGTACGATGTCAGTGTGATGTCACGGTGATGTCACGGTGATGTCAGTATGGTGTCAGTACGATGTCAGTGTGATGTCACGGTGATGTTCATCCTGAACCTGTTTATCTTTCTTGTTTCCAGTGACCTTCACTGAACGACCTCATCGCCATAAACAAAATTTCCGATCACATGACCTCCATGGCTGACATCATCACGGCATTTCCTTCTGAGGTAACAAATCCCGCCCACACACAGCTGATTTGTTATTGATCTGCTCAGGTTACAGTCAGTTAGCGGACGGACTGAAGTCAAAGAAACAAAAATCAAAGAAACTCTGATGAAGCAGCAGCAGGTGTGCCCAGGTGTGTTCAGGTCTGTCCAGGTGTGTTCAAGTGTGTCCAGCGGTGTTCAGGTGTGTTCAGGTGTGTTCAGGTGTGCCCAGGTGTGTTCAAATGTGTTCAGGTGTGTTCAGGTGTGTCCAGGTGTGTTCAGGTGTGTCCAGGTGTGTTCAGGTGTGTTCAGGTGTGCTCAGGTGTGTCCAGGTGTGTTCAGGTGTGTTCAGGTGTGTCCAGGTGTGTTCAGGTGTGTTCAAGTGTGTCCAGGTGTGTTCAGGTGTGTTCAAGTGTGTCCAGTGGTGTTCAGGTGTGTTCAGGTGTGTTCAAGTGTGGTCAGGTGTGTTCAAGTGTGTCCAGTGGTGTTCAGGTGTGTCCAGTGGTGTTCAGGTGTGTCCAGCTGTGTTCAGGTGTGGTCAGGTGTGTCCAGTTGTGTCCAGGTGTGCTCAGGTGTGTCCAGCTTTGTTCAGGTGTGTCCAGTGGTGTTCAGGTGTGTCCAGGTGTGTTCAAGTGTGTCCAGGTGTGTCCAGTGGTGTTCAGCTGGATCCAGGTGTGTTCAGGTGTGTCCATGTGTGATCAGATGTGTCCAGGTGTATTCAAGTGTGTCCAGGTGTATTCAGGTGTGTCCAGGTGTGTCCAGGTGTGTCCAGTGGTGTTCAGGTGTGTCCAGGTGTGTTCAAGTGTGTCCAGTGGTGTTCAGCTGGATCCAGGTGTGTTCAGGTGTGTCCATGTGTGGTCAGGTGTGTCCAGGTGTATTCAGGTGTGTCCAGGTGTATTCAGGTGTGTCCAGGTGTATTCAGGTGTGTCCAGGTGTGATCAGGTGTGTCCAGATGTGTCCAGATGTGTCCAGGTGTATTCAAGTGTGTCCAGGTGTGTTCAGGTGTGTCCAGTTGTGTCCAGGTGTGTTCAGGTGTGTCCAGGTGTGTTCAGGTGTGTCCAGTTGTGTCCAGGTGTGTTCAGGTGTGTCCAGTGGTGTTCAGGTGTGTCCAGGTGTGTTCAGGTGTGTTCAGGTGTGCCCAGGTGTGTTCAGGTGTGTTCAGGTGTGCTCAGGTATGTTCAGGTGTGCTCAGGTGTGTTGTCTCTCCCTTACAGGAGTCGTTCTCCATCAGCCCGTCACCCACCACCTTTGATGATGACGACTACGAAGACTTGTTCTGTGACCAGGGGTCGGTGCGGGAGTTCAGGAGTCACTACGAGCCACCGCTCTTCTGGATAATCACCGTGGTGGGTGGAGCTGGAAACCTGGCTGTGGTGTGGATCTACCTGAACTTCCGCCGGCGGCTCAAGACTATGACGGACGTGTACCTGCTGAACCTGGCGGTGGCTGACCTGCTGTTCCTCATCACACTGCCGCTGTGGGCAGATGAGGCGATGCACGGCTGGAGTTTTGGCTCTGCCCTCTGCAAGGTGAACTCCGCCCTCTACAAAGTGAACCTGTTCAGCAGCATGCTGCTGCTCACCTGCATCAGCGTTGACCGCTACGTGGTCATCGTGCAGAGCACCAAGGCTCAGAACTCACAGGTGGAGCGACGCCGCTGCAGCACGCTGATGTGTGTGGGGGTGTGGTTGCTAGCGCTGCTGCTCGCCTTGCCCGAGTTCATGTTCGCCACCACCTCCGAGGTGGATTCGCGGGAGTACTGCAGGATGGTGTTCCCGCATCATGTGGGCAACCGCACCAAGATCCTGGTGCTGTCGCTGCAGGTGAGCATGGGCTTCTGCCTGCCCTTCTTTGTCATGGTGTTCTGCTACAGCATCATCGTCGCCAAGCTGCTCAAGACCCGCAACTTCCAGAAGCACAAGGCCATGCGTGTCATCCTCGCTGTGGTGATTGTCTTCATTGTGTCCCAGCTGCCCCACAACGGCGTACTTGTGATGCAGGCCACACAGGCCTCCAGCATGACCATGACGGACTGCGAGGAGATGAAACGCTTCAACACGGTGGAGCAGGTGCTGAAGAGTCTAGCCTACATGCATGCGTGCCTCAACCCCTTCCTCTACGCCTTTGTGGGCGTGCGTTTCCGCCGCGACATGTTGCAGCTGCTGCGTGTTTGCCGCTGCCAGCCACCGGCCAATAAGGGTCAGCTGAGTAAGTCCTGCAGGAGTCCGCTGAACTCGACCAGAGCCTCTGTCATGTCGGACAGCGACACCTCGCAGGCACTGTCGCTCTAGAGACACCGACCGCTGCAACTTCCTGTTTGTGCTGCAGCAGCTGCGGTTTAACTGTGATGTCGACAGATGATATCATCAATCCTTCATGTTTCCTGTGCATATTAAAGGCTTTTCAAATTAAGGTGTTTTCAGGGGGTTTAGTTTTTCAGATTAAAAGATGAGTGAAGGAAACACTTAGATCCAAATGTTGTGAGGGGAAATTAAGGGAAAATTTTAACGGATTTTTGTGTC